CATCGCTGCCTTGCTCCAGATTTAGGGGCAACATTGGGTTTTCCACTATTAAATGTGATGTGGGTTGTGGTTATTTATGGATGACCTTTATTGGGTGACAGCAGCCATCCGGCCCCCTTTGTGGCACTAGGGATTGAGCCCAGGGTCTTCACAGTGAGCCGCATCCTTACCCCTTTGTAAAAATTCTTATTTTGAGACAGGGTCTTGCCAAGTTGCCAGGCTGGGCTTGAACTTGCCACCCTTCTGCCTTGGTATTTCACTGTGCTGGAATCATAGGCAAGCGGTACCACGGCTACCCTAAGAAGTTCTTTATATTCTTAGTTTAATGAGTTTTAAAAATATCATGAATGGATGTTGAATTTTGTCAAATACCTCTTGTGCGTCTCTTGAGATGGATCGTTTGGATTTTCCTTCTTAGTTTCCTAACATGCTGAATTATATTGAGTGATTTTCATATGTTGAGCCAGCTTTGTATTCTGCAGATAAACCCAAGTTGGCTTATATATTATCCTGCTTTATTAGATTTGCTGTTTCTTGAGGATTTTTGTGTTTATGTTCCTGAGGATTATCGGGCTGAAGTTTTCTCCTCTTGTAATGCATTTGGTTTCCTGTTATCCAACAAATTGGGAATTTTTCCTGCGTTTTTAAAAGATGAAAAAGTAATTGCACGCTAGGCATTGCGTTCAATGCTTACTTTAATCTTCTCAGCAACTCTACCAAGCGTCGGCCATTGTTAGGGTAGCCGTCACTTTACAGGTGGAGCAGCTGAGGCATGGACTGAGGTGAGGTAACTTGTCCGCAGGCCCACAGCAGGAGTCAGGACTCAAACTCCCGCGGTCCAGCTCCCGCAGAAACATTTATTCCATTTTTCTAATAAGGGGTGTTTAAAGGCACAGCTCAGTCCACCGAGGCCATCGGAGTCCCACCCATCCTTTTCATGTTCTAAAAATCTAAGACAAGTTCTCACAGAATCACCCAAGCTGAGCTTGAACTTGTGATCCTTCTGACTCAGCCTCCCTCCGTACTGATATTACAGGCACGTACCACCCTGCCATGCATTGGCTGGCTTTTCTTATGTGTCCTGCAAAGTGAGCAATACCTTGCTTACTTAAAAAAGGAAGAGGAAGAAGCTGAGCTGGGTGTGGTGGTGCTCATCTGTCATCATAGCACTTTGGGAGGCTGAGATGAGAGAATTCCAAGTTTGAGGCCAGCTGGGGCAACTTAGTGACTTTGTGAGACCCTGTCTCAAAAAAAATATCGAAAGGACCAGGATGTAGCTCAGGGCAAAGGCCCTATGTTCAGTCCCCACTACCTCAAAACAAAAACCAAAACCAAAAGGAGGGAGAGGGAGAATGAGGTGGGGGTTTAGGAATGCTTGGGGCCCAGTGTTCTCCACTGTTCCTACAGCAGCATGAGCCCAGCAGTGAGGAATCCGGTGAGAGGTGATGAAGAAAGCAAGTGTGCTTGGATGCTGTAGACCACTGTAGACCACTTGCTTCACTTCTCTGGGTCTCAGTTTGCTCATCAATAAAATGGGCTAGAGACATGTATAGGCCACAGGGTAGTGACAGAGGAACAGTGCAGTAGCATAGGTAGAATAAAAATCTGGTGTGGAGAAGGCAGTGAGGAAAAAGTGCTTTCCTTGGACCAGGCACAATTTTGGAGATTGCTTGCTTGCTTGCTTGCTTGCTTTCTTTCTTTCTTTTTCTTTCTTTTTCCTTTTCTAGAATGGAGTCTTCCTAGGTTATCCAGAGTGTCGTTGAACTTCTGAGTTTAAGCAATCCTCGTGTCTCAGCCTCCCAAGTAGCTGGAACTGTGGACTATAGATGTGTGCCACTGTGCTTGGATTTTTGCTTAGATTCTTATTTAATAGATTCTACCTGCGTGGGACATTATGAACTACTGTTGCCCCCATTTTACTGATGGGGCAAGTTGTGGTTCTCAAGGGTAGATAATTTATAAGTGGCACCTTCTACTCATATTTAAAAATATTGATTGATTGATTGATTGATTATGGTGGTGAGGATCCAACCCACAGTGGTGCTCTACCATTGAGCTATGTCTCCAGCCCCCTTTATTTTACTTTATTCTTTAATTTCAAGACAAGGTCCTGCTAAGTTGTCCAGGTGGGACTTGAACTTGTGATCCTCCAGCCTCAGCCTCCTCTGCCCGTAATTCACATTAGAATTCCTGGGATCCCATGCCAGCCACTTGAGTTAGACTGTGTGGTGCAATTCCTTGAACCCGGAGAATAGCCCACAAGGCTTTACTAAGCTCTTCCTTGCACTTTAGAGACTGCAGCCAGCCACACACCTGCTGTTTCCCCCTAATTACTGGCTCCCATGACAAACTTCCTCCACCTTTCCTCAGTTTCCATCCAAGTCTCCAGCCACTACTCCAACCATCTGGAAAACTTGGGGTGAGTCCCCCACCAGGAATAGTGCTCCAATTCAAAGCCCCGCTTCTAGTGCTGTTATGGAGGCCTTCAGTCTGTTGCTTCCCACCCAGCAGGGCTGAGCCGCTGTCAGCCGTGAGATGTGAGGTCTGCTAATTGCTGCTGGCCGGGAGCCCTGTGGAGACTACTGTGGTGCACTTGCAAGAGGAGAAGCACACCACGCCAAGTGCTTTCCTCTGTGCACCCTGGCCCTCTGCTGGCTCCTGATGGTGCTAATCAGCCCCCTCCTCCTTGCCACCCAATCAGCAATGTGACAGCCACATCTGTGGCCATGCAGCATGAACCAGTGTGTGTGCCAGGCGCCACACCTCGAGCGTAACCTGCACCATCATCACCATCAGCACCATTGCTTTTCACCTGCATTCCGGGGGGGAGGGCCTCCCATTAGCCCATTTTACAGATGAGAAAACTGAGGCACGCAGACACAAAAGACTGTCCCCCATCTAATGACGGCAGAGCCTGGATTAGCCTTCAGTCAGCATTCTTATTTGCTAGGAAGTTCTTGCCTGCTCTTCTGGGTTTAAGAGAATCACCTACGAGTCTCATTTTGACCCATCCTTGTAGGCTGGTAACAAAACTGTTTTCAGCCCATGCCTTCTGGATGAGCCTGGCCTCCCCACGTATGCTTCTCTGGGATGCCTACGTCTTCTGCATTCATCTGCTGCCTCTGGAGCCGCAGGCTCACCTTGTGAGCTTTCTGAACGCAGGAGCTGCCCCCAGGACACCGGGAGGCCCTTCTGCACATCCTAAGTACCAGCAGGTGCTCAAAACTCTTAGCTGGCCATCTGATCGTGACAAACATCCCCCAGCTTCCAATCCCAAGCCTTCTTTACATCCTCAAACCCAGGGTTAAGGCCAGGGCTAGCACAGAGCCGGGCACACTGCAGCTGCCAGTGCCAGGAAGGCTCTAGCTGGCACAGGAGTTAGGCTGTGAAGGTTCAGAGCATGCTGACTTCCTTCCACCTTGAAGGATTTGTTGACCTGAGCTTTCCTTCCTTCTGCCCATCCTCATGCCTGGGCTTTGGAAACTGGAAGCCTGGCCCGTCCCTTGTCCTTAAGTTCAGTCTCTTAAAGCATTTGCAGAGGAAAATCTTGGGGCAGTGAGCGAGCAGCCAACCCACTCCGGCAGGGGAAGAGATGGGCGGACAGACAGGGAAGGGATGGAGGTCAAATGCATCCTGATGAGCGTAAGTTCTGTTGCTTCTCTGGCTCTCGGCAAGCATCCCCAGTAACCAGACCTCTCAGAAACTCATTTCCCCAAAGAGAGCTCTGGGGAGGGTCAGAGGGGAGGCTGCAGCTGGGCTGAAATCAACCCCAGCTCCAGGTAATTACAGGAGGTGTGCCACCACCCTGTCAGGGCACGTCAGAGGTGGGGCAGCTGAGCCCTGAGCTAAGAATAAAAGCCCGGTCCCTTGCAGGATTGGGGGAAGGTTCCCAGGTCAGGACACTTGTGCTTTCCTGTGCCTGCCAAAGTTGGGGAGGGGGACCAGTGACCGAAGCCATCTCACGAACTACAAGCTGGGTGCTTTGGAAAGGAAATCTCAGCAAGGCTCTTAGAAACCCAGCTCCCAGGTTCCCCAGATTCCAAGATGCTCAGGTTGGCAGATGAGAGCTGATGGGGTGGACAAAGCTAAGATGCTAGCCTGGATGCTGGTTTTTCCCTTTCTGTTGCTCTCTCCCTCCTGCTTGTAAGTGATCTTCAGCAATCTTTCTGTCGTAGAGATTATGGGGAAAAGGGGGCCATGCATAGCCAGAGTGTCAGAAATCCTTCTTTCCTCCTCTGCCTGTCCCTTACTCTTGCACACAGCCCTTCTCAGTGGCTCAGCTCTCTTCAGGAATTCTCCACAAGTCTCAGCCACACTTTGGAGAGGACATTAAAACAGGGAGATGGGAACTGGCTGTGAGCTGCTGCCCAGGGGTGGTGAGTGTGTGTGTGTGTGTGTGTGTGTGTGTGTGTGTGTGTGTCCGCGCGCGCGCACACGCTCTGGAAGCTAAGCTAGGGGCCAGGCGTATCTTCAAGGAGACTGTGACCCCCGAGGTGGTTGCCTTGGCGGCAGAGACTGCTTACTGCTCAGGGTGGTCAGCAGGGCACACACAGCATCCCCGGCTTTCTCTTGGGTCAAGCAGGGATGCTAGAAGGGCAGAGCGGCAGAAGTGTCTCCAGCTGCGTGGGGTGAGGGGCGAAGGGAAGCCTCTGCCAGCTTTCTGTCAGGAACCTCCAGTCAAGTCACACAGCCTCCGTGGACCCTCTCTCACACGCGGCGCATCCAGCCGCGCACAGAAATGCATGCCGGAGTCCACAGACCGCTCGCACCAACTCACACGCGATGCCCACAGCTTGCTACACACACACATCTCTGCCAGGCCGCAGCAACTTCCTTTCTTCCCGGTCTGGAAAGTCTGGAAATCTCCACAGTTGTCCCTAAGGCTTAAACTTTTTTCGAGGGGCTGCAGGGGACGCACAGGAAGGAGGCCAGGGGGTTCCGCGCAGGGTCGGTCGGCGCTTAGGGATCCCAGACTCCCACCCTCTCCCCACAGCTCTCACCTGGTAAACCGAGGCACAGCAAGAGGCTGTAGTAGACCACGGGCACGAAGCCCAAGCCGCAGGCCGAGCTGGCGGACCAGAAGAGCGAGCTGTTGGCAGCGGGGAGGTGTGCGTGCGTGTGCTCCATGGGCCCCCCGGAATCCGGACGCCGGCTGGGGTGGCGGTCTGCAAGGCAGCAGCCGGAGGGAGCAGCGGCGCCTTCCTCCCCGCAAGACTTGCTTCTGTCCTTTGGGAGGGGCTCCCGAGCCCGACTGTGCGCCTCCCACCTCGGACCGCTGGGCTCCCGCCTCAGAGCCGGGGCTGGGACAGACTTTCCGCAGCCAATCAGCAGCTGCCTGGATGTGTGTGGGTGTGTATGTGTGTGTGCCTGTGTGGGGTGTTGGCGGGTGACTGGGGGAGGGGGTCCCAGCCGCCTTTCTTGGCTCCAGAGTCAGAGGCGTAGATGGGGTTGTACCTGGGAACCCCGGGTGGGGGGAAGATGGGGTGGAGAACAGCCCCCCCCCGCACCCCACTCTGCAGGAAGGGCGTGGTGTGGGTAGGACCTAGGACCTGCTTCTCCTGCAGCGCCTCCTTCTTACTCCACCAACGTGTCCTCGGTTTGCCTCTTCTGACTGCTCTCCCAGCGGCGATTTCAAATCCTCGCCAATGCCTCGAGTCCGTTTTCCTGTACAGCTCAGTGCATCCCGGACTTGCGGGGAAGGGGAGGCCGTGGGCGCCGCCAGGATGCTGAAGGGCCGTGGGTTCTCCCTACCCTGCGCTGCTCTTGTGGGCTGCGGAAGGAGGGAGGGAGGGCGCACACCGTTCTGGGGCTGCGGTGGCTCTGGGGGCATCAGCGGGAGACCTGCCCCAGCCTGGAGCGTGCACAGAGGGGATGCAAACTGCTGAGGAGGAGCCCGCCACTTGCAAACCCCTCGGCCACCCTCGCTCACTCTCACAGGAACACACAATACCCGCTCAGCGACACTCGCTCACTCTCATGCGGCTGGCTTGCCCCGCACCTGGGAAGACACAAGAAAATCACACAAAGGCCACCCTCGTGCCGAGCTCCCAGCGTACACAGAGATTCACTTGGGGGCGAGTGGAGGGTCTGGGGGGGTTGGGGTGACGAGAGAGTGTGCTTGGAGCAGTGGAGGGGACCTCCTCTTCCCCTCAAGGTGGGCAGGTGGTGGGTTCCAAGAGCAGCCTTCTCAGGGCCACGGCGTGTGTCTGTCCCAGCTGCTCAAGACAGTGAGTGAGACACCGTGAAAGACTGCAGAAATTCCAGGCAAGCATCCGCAGGAGCAGCTGGAGCCTGCTGCCCGTGCTGGGGCTTGTGGTGGCCTCCAAGGAGTTTGAGTCCCACCGCTTCTCCCCAGCACTTCTGTTCCTGGAGAGAAGGGCTGGACTGGGCTGGGCTTTCCCGGCCTCCTCCAGGTTTCCCCCAGGTGGGTGGAACCCCTGCCTCTCAGGTCCCCTGCCTGATTTTGTTAGGAGCTCCCTGAGCAGGGACAGGGTAGTGGGGGGCCCCACATCAGACAGAGCCAGGCAGTTTTCGGGGAGAAGGAGGGAGAGACAGCTGGACCTGGACCTGGCTGGGTCAGGCAGTTACCTGGCCCCCTAAAAGGACAGGTTAGTACAGTCACATGGGCACAGCGAAGCCCGGCCTGATGTTTCAAGCTCCATTAGATATTAAAATTTATGGTGACCGCTCTTGTTTAATTTTTTGTTTTAGTTTTGATTGACACATAATTGTGAATATTTATGGGGCATGATATGGTGTTATGATTTATGTATACAGTGCCTGATGATCGAACCAGAGTAATCAGCATATCCATCACCTTAAACATGGTATCATTTCTTTGTAGTGAGAACATTCAAAATCCCATCTTCAGCTATTTTGAATGTGAGTATCCCAAATAAAAACAAAATGAAAAACCCACTGTGTTGATAAATGGAGCAGTGCTTTATATCATAGAGATTCAATAAATAATTGTTCAAAAACCTATAGGTCAGATTTATCTAATCTTATTAGATTAAGTGGCTAGATAGAGACAAGGAACTGGGGATATAGAAGGAATATGTATGACTTGGCAAAGCCCCTGGTTTCTTCAGCAAGCTCCCTACATTGCAAACTACGGATAAGACCTCAGGACATTTGCACTAGCTGTCCCCTCTGTCTGGAATGCTCTTCCTTCAGAAAGCTTCATGGCCTCCTTTCTCTCCCTCTTCAGGACTCATGTTCACTTCTCACTGAGGCTTTTTTGGCAGCATATTCAGAATTGAAATCTCTATTCCTCTTCACTATGAATTATTCCACTTCTTTTGTCCTACCCCTGCTTAATTATTCTCTATTAGCTTAGCCTATCATACACATTTTAAAGAATACTTTGTGTTACTTGTCTGTTTCCATCTTAGAAGTGCAGGGGCACTTGTCTGTTGTGTCCCTGGCTCATTCCCAGACTCACACAGTGCCTGTATGTTGCAGACCCTGCCCCCAATATGGAAAGAATGAAAGCCCCAGTACCACCACCTTAGAGCATGCGCAGACCATGTCTTTGTTCTGGCAGCCCAGAGTGTCAGAGCATGGGATGCTGTGGGAGCTGGAATCACAGTCTCAGATTTAGCATGTAATTATCGTGTCTGAACAGCCAAACCAAAAATGGGTCGAGTGGTTTGAATAGAGGCCTCTCGTTAGACACTCTCTGTAAGAGTCGGCTGGGCAGAGGAACTGGGCAGCCTGAGGAGTCCTGAGGGACTCTAGCGTGCACATCTGTGAAATGGGAGACGAAAGCAAAGCAGGCACCTTTGTCCCCGGGATACTGAGCAGGGAGAGCGGCACTGGGGAGCTGAAGACAGTGCAGACTGCGGTTTTGGACCAGGAGGGCTTGGGTTGGGTCTTCTGCTGGTTCCATCAGGATCCTTGGCCGCTGGTCAAGGCCCAAGCTTCCTGGGAAATGAATAGTTTGGATTAGAATATCTTTGAAGTCTTGGGTCAGGCTTTGGGTCTTCTTGGTCCTGGAAAAGGAGCAGGATGAGCTAGCAGAGAAGGTCTGTTTGATTTTGGTCCACATGCTAGCTCGGTCGGCGAACGGCACGCTTGCCTGGTGAGGTCGGTCCATCCATTTATCTATTCCTCCAGCAGACTTTCACTGGACACTTCACGTGTGCTGTGCAGGGCTGGTCACATAATTTGTAGACCTCGATGCGAGAAGAAATTGTGGGGCCCCTTGTTCACCAGCTGTTAAGGATTTGAAGATGGCAACAGCAGAGAGTTAGACTAAGCGCAGGCCCTGGGAGAGTCCCCAGGTCACAGGCCCAGGTGGCTGGGCTTGCTCAGGGCCCAGCAGAGAGTGTTGTCATAATGAACTGAGATTTCCTGAGGGCTTGTCTCTTAGACATCTTATACTCAGCCTGACACCAGAAAGAGGGGGCAGCACTTCGCTCCATTGCATGAGTGAGAAAACCAAGGCACAGAGAAGTTCACTCATTGTGGAGCGGGTCCAAAGCAGCCTGACCCTGTGCTGAATCCATCAGGGTACTCGGGTTAAGGTCAGATGCAGGCCAGAAAGTCGTTAGCACATTGTCTCGCAGGCCCTGAGTGACAGGAAGGCAGAGTCTTCAGCTGTTTTCTCCTTCTTTGTATGTATTTCCAAGACACTGCCAGACAGTGGTCCAGAAAGAAATCTTCAGTGATTTTGCAAATAAATATGGAAGAGAAGTAAACAGTTTGTGAAGGGAAGAGTTGTGAACTCAAATGTCAAATAGCCTGGGTGGGTAATCAACATGCATGAGGCAGGAATATTGTACATTCTTCACTTCCATAAAGGAATAGGCCATCTCCTGTTTTCTTGGGAACCTTTGGCTTTCCTGGTATGGGTTCTGTTTGTCTACCTTTTGACAGAGTGGGTGGACTAAAGGAATGATTCTTTAGGAGAAGCAACAACACAAGCATAAACTGTAACTAGCACATTTCTCAGAGAATTCGGTAGGGAGTGGAGGGGACTGTAATAAAATAGAAGTGTGCTGCTAGCCACTGAGCTGGGTTCTGAGTATACAGTGTTTTAAAAATGATTGGTCTCTGCTTTCCCAGATTTTAAAAGTCAAGTGCAAGAGACAGGCATGAATCAGCACACACAATTGGATAAGGGCTATACAGAGGTGGTTAAAGAAATGAGAGAATATGAACCAGGAGATCTTCTACAGACTCTGGTGGCCAGGGAGGGCTTCCCTGAGATGTGAAGGCGCAGTAAGTGTTAACTAGGTGAAGAAGAGATGTGAGGCCTGGGCTGAGGGAACATCCCAGATCATGTAAGAGTGAGTGAAAACGTCCCAGGGTTAGAGGAAGGACTCTGAGGAACTGAAAGACCCAGTAGTGGGGGGAGATCAGAGCTAGATGCACTCAGAGAGAGGGCAGGGCTTATTTTGACCGGGATGCAGACTGTTTTTACTCCTGGCTTTACGCAGTGGAATGTCACAGTCAGATCTGGACTTTTCCGCATTGACTTTGTCAGGGAGGTGGGGAATTGATGGATGGGAGCCAAGAACAGAGGCCCCGGGCAGACAAGACAAGTGACAGGGCCGAGGAGCTGGACATGTGGACAGTGACAGTGGCTCGGACTAGGGTGGTGCTGAGGATGGGGAGGCCCTTTTTCCAATGTTAGGGGTGAAAAGGTGGAGGAGAGGAAGAGGAGGGGAAGGAAACAGAGAGGCAGAAAAGCCAGGTGGGGAAAAGGAGAGACTCGGCTCTCCTGTCTGCCTGTCCGTCCGTCTGTCTTGCAGCATTATTCATATCATCTCTATAGAGAGCAGTGGAGAGAGAGACATAGCCAGGAGATAGACGGATGGACTGAGGAGGACGCACACACCCCTCAGGTCTGAGCTCGCTCTGGGTGGGAGGCTTATGAAACGGGCACCGTGTCTCCATCAGCTGCCCCCCGACCATCACTGTGCAACCTGTCCCCACCCCCGTTTCTCCTCGCTTTCAAGGCTCTTCCCCCTTGCAGTACACACCCCCCCATAGCATCTCTTACTGTGTCTCTGGTGCTCAGGTTCTCTGTCACCTCCCATCCTGGATTCAGATTGCTCTCTGGTCTCCATCCCTGACCCTTCCCTGCAGTGTGCACAGCCGAAGTAGGGCCAGGCCCAGGTGGGAATCCCGGCTCTGCTCCCCAGCCGTGCTTGTTCCTCAGGACCTTGGGACAGAAACTGATAGGGAAAAGCTCCAGGTAGCTCAATTTCTAAAAT